CATACACATGTGCCTGTTATGCCGTATATGCAGTAAAATCATATCACTCACAAACGCACGCATGCAAGAGTTGTATTCACCACATTTCGTTTCGGGTGATGAATGACTACTGAAGTTGAAGCCCCCCACAATTGGATGAGTAGGCCTCATTTTTACATTGCCCCACTCGCCAACAGATATTTTGATCCACAGTCGACTGCAGTTTCGACCTCGCCTAGGCTGCGTCAGAACCCACAGCTAAACGCAAACCCGGCATTCCGGTGAAACGATATATGGAGAATACAGCTCTTATATCAGATCTTCTGGTAATATCGAAAAACCAGCTATTAAACGAAAGACTGCTATAGCAAATAAAACTTTGTTGAGCTTACTTCCATTTCGAGTGAGTGCTTCATGAAGAGACTCGAAGGTCGATCACACCAGAAGACGACAGCATACTCCTCTCGACTAATTGCCGGTTGGCGTTATAGAAACATCCTTGTCGACCCTGTTTCCGAGTCAATCGTCTTCGATTCCGGTGAAAAAGTGCTAAGCCCTTGTCGACAATCCTATCACAGAATGGGCGAAGGCCTGGTCTGGCCTGAAATTCATGTGGGAAAACGTGAATTCCAGGCCTTCACAAGCCGACACGAAATATGGTGAATACAGGTCTCATGTCAAAGCTGCAGGTAGCCTCAAAAGGCGACAAATGTAAAGAAGAACATGCCTTCATTCCAGCCGAACTTGCACGCGTTGACGCGGGCTAAACACACTTCATCGCCCACACGTTTATGCACAGCCAGTGTCTAGTCCGCCATCTGGTCTCGTGTCTACAGCACTTTGTATGATTCATCCAATTGCTCGTAGGCTCTCACCGTCTCGCCGGTCTGCGATCGATACGACACGACTAAATTATCCTGGGCTCTCGGTTCTCCAGTTTTGGCATGCTCAGCCCGGCAGAATTGAGCCAGTGTGGATAGTGGCGTTTAATACGTCAATTAAGCACAATGAGCGGATCATCGTCGTTTCGCTTTGCCTCGTCTGCCCCTCTTTTTTTTCTTTCTCTTTGCAAACACACACACATTCGTCTATCCAGGTCTCGCTACGCATAGATGGGCACTCAGAATGGTCATAATATTTTTAAAAAGTCAACACTTGAGATGGCTAGTAGATGTGGATTGGGTCAAGTCAACTATTTAGTTGGGCCTGGTCCTCACAGGCCCCAGTATCGATCGGCCTGTCTATTTGCCTCAAATGTGCATGTTTAAAATAGCGACAGTATGCTCCCGATGCGTCTGGCTGGTCCAGACGAACAGCTCGACGTGACTCAGCTGCCTCGGTTTGCCTCGGTCGACGAGCGTCTGCGCCTCCGACCCGAAGGAAGCGGTCACGTGAGGATACAACGAGCGATACAACGCTCGGAACCAATGGGAGGGCAGCAGACGGCTGGAGGCGTCGGAGCGAGTCAGTATAGCTCAAGCGAGGATCGGAAATCTCGGAAACAAAGACCAGGTGTAGGTTTATTTTAGTTTTTCAAATATGTCTTTAACACTAACAGCATATGTTGAATAGGAGGTGTATTTACTTTAATCCTTTAAAGATGATGGACTGGTAGTTGAATTTTCATACAATTTTTCCCTTCCTTTCCAGTGCACTTCACGTGGCCCTGTTTCCCAAAAGGTACCATCACGCAAGCAAGAGTGAACTGCGGTTTCGACTTCGCATGAACAAGTGTCAGTGGTCACAGGACGCTGAGGCGAAGGTGTGTTCGTACAATCCAATTGCCTCCACTCTTTCGGCCCCAGATGAGGCCAACCTCTACTTTGAAATGAAAATTCGAGTAGGACGCCAACAGTTTAAGGGGGCCTAAGACGCTGAGGAGCCAGAATTTGGCGCCAAATTCAGCCGAAAATTCAGAAGTCAATTAGAACAGTGAGGGGGCAAATGATATGTGAAAAAGAACGATATGATCTCCAAGCCTATCTTGGTTGCTACGACGGAGACTGGGTTGCAAGTTGGTCGCTTCCTTCCATCATGGCCGGCAGGATAGAAAGAGCAAAATTGGCGCTGACCGCTTTGTCGTCCAGTGGGGCTTGGAATGGTGTCTTCTGAAATCGACTAAAGACCAAAAGAGTGGCACTTGTCCAAGGGAAATATACTATTTTGGGTTCTCTGATGAGCACAATAGACATTGGTCACTTATTACCAGTTCTTTGCGCTCTTCGTGGTTGCCGGTCGTCTCAGAGATTGACGTTAAGGCTGTTTGATGTCCGCCAGGCATTCCACGCTGCATCGCCTCTCACAAGTGCTTTCTCTTCTGGCCTGAACAGCGGTTTGGCCCAGGGAATCGGGAGGATAAGCCGGCAAAATGAAGAAGAACTGAGTGGCCAGGCCTCCCATATTGATTTCACAGTGGTTCACCCTTTATTTTACGCCAGTGTACCTGTGTCTGGTCTAAATGTAGAAGATCCGTACTTCGGCCGCATTGGACAGCGATGAATTTATGAGCTGTCCTCGGCATGTCGACCATATTTGACGAAAGGAAAGGTTATTAAGAAAAGGTTGGTTTAAAAGACTTCTTTAATGAATTGGCGTTGGCATAGCTACAACCAACAGGTGCGGTTTTTTTCAAGACAATGCGAAGGAGAGTTGGGTTTCGAGGAGTCTCTGATTTGTAGTCGCTGAATTCGCTTCAATTGGGAGTGGAATTGTTTGGTCATAGGCCGATCCCACCAGAAGACGGCAGCGGCTTCTTCTGGATCAACTGTCGATTGGCCTTACTGGAACGTTGCTGTCGACGTTCTTTTCGAGGCAATCACCTGTTTCAGTGAAAACATGCTAAGCTTCGTCCTTTGCATGGCGGACATCATCAAAGCAGGGTACCAGCCTTACAACCATATTCCGTGGACTCAATTGCTGGTTCTGGCCTAGTAGCAAAATTTCATCCATTTCCTTCTTAATTCTTTACATCCGGTCCTGCCATTCAGGAAGGAGGTAGTTTTGTTTATTCCTATTGACTCTTACATATCTTTCAAAATGTTGGGTTTTGTCTGGTATCCTGTATTAGCCGTGGGTTCGGCCAGCTTAGATTCGTGTACGGCTTCGTGTTCAGATTGTCTTGTCCAGATGGGTCTACATGTCTCCTCCGCATAGACGCTGAGGCAAGAACGAAAACTCTAGAGCAGGACGATCTATGCGAAATAGCGGGACGCTTGAGACAGGCTTCCAGAAAGCTAGGCCGGTCTAAACAACCCTCGAAGTGGTCACGTGTCCAAAAGGTATCTTCGTTTGGGCTACTCATCGTGGACAACCGAGATATCAATTTCCCGAACGTGGAGAGGCCTCGGTGTGTTCTGGTTCACGACCCTGTCGTCTAGTGACGATTTGAGTGGTAAGAACGATAGTTGTGAAGGCTTTAATTTGGTATGGAAATACATGATGAAGAGGTTCGTAGGTAAATCTCACCAGAAGACGCCGGATGAATCGAGGTGTACTGAAGCCGTTTAGCTTTAATACGATGTTCAGGTTGATGCAGTCCATGAGACGTTCGCCGTTTATGCCAAAATGGCTAGAGTACAGCGCGAATCAGCCGGCCCTCTGGTGAGGTTGATCTATGAATCTCTTCATCATGCGCTTTCAGACGAAATGAAGGTCTTCACGACATTCTTGACTTGTATGTCTCAAAACTCTACTTATATACGAAAAATCGTATCTTGTCTTCGAAACCCGCATTTTATTCTTATGCTAGGAACCAATCAGCCTGACCTTACATTTGTCCGTAGACTGGACACCAACCAGACTACTGTTTGTTTCTAAAGTAGCACATTCATAAGCATTAGTAGGAGTTAATTTAAAATGTGTGCACACAAACGTGCATATTTAGGTACACACGTGCATGTGAGAATACATATACTCATAAATACCCGAATGCATGTGTAGCCACGACCAGGTCGGCCTTTGGAGGTCAGTCCTACCTCGGGGACTGGATGATCGGTGAAATCGATGCATTTAGGCACTAGTACCAATTTTTCACAGCCCCTACGAGCTCGGCTGTCTGGTCCACCAGTTGCAAATTAGTTTTATTTCGTTGACTTGACAGCCACTCTGCCCACGATGAGTGGAAGAGCAGGTTTGGTAGCCCAAAATGATTTTGTCCCACTATCGCCCCCAGTGTGAATGGAAGCCTGGAGGAGATGTCCAGCTGCTCTAGGTCTAGGACACGACAGGCCTGACTTTCAAGACAAAATTGCGGAGGGATAGACCCAGGTCGATTCTGCAGCTGAGGCTGAAGATGAGAACGACCTTTTGTGAGGCGTGGCGAAGCGGAATTCATCGCATAGAGCCGGCCTCTTCCACTATATCGTAGCCAGGGCAAGGAACAACAGAAACCGGTACACCTCCAACAAAATCAATGTATAACTTTTTTTTCAAGGGTCTTATCGACATGTCGGTTTGATTTGGAGGTTGTAAACAGTGCGAATGTGTCGTGAGCATGCGGCGGACCCTTGTGTGGTTGCAGCCATGTGGGCTCCGCCAGTGCACACGTCGGTTAGTCGATGTTGCGAAGAATGTGCCCCTGAAAAATGCGGGAAGAGTGCATTCAATGGAATTGGGGCGGGTAATCTCCACAGGCAGACATGAGTGGCCCGGTTTGAGTTACCGAGTCGAGTCAGGCAGATGTGGAAAAAAAAGACCTGTCGTCATGTCAACGAGAATCACAATCGACCAGCAAAGGAGGGGAAAGATTTATAGGCCTTGGTGACGATCAGGAGACCACCGATCTGCGCAATAAAAAGACAAAATTTACGATGCAGCCGGCTGAACGGCTTCACTT